GATGCACGCAGTGGCAGGAGCTTCTCCACCTTCCCGCACCCCCCAGATGAGCCGTGGCTCCATCCCGCACCCCACTCCACCCCATCTGGACAGCACCTGCCCCTGCCTCACTCCCCACCTCACTGCGGGGGGGGGGGTTGATCTGCACCCCCACATCCTTTCCCTCCCCCCTCCCCATCCGCCACAACAGACTTACCAGCTGCATGCAGCTCTCCACGCTGCTGGGCTGTGCTCCTCGCTGCCTGTGTGCTGCACTGTGGGTGCACACACACATGCGCATTTATCAGCCAAATTATCAGCCACATCAGGCCAATTTCCAATATAGTAAATTTTCTTTATATTGATGCCAATCCGATATTGGACTGATGTATTGGTGCACCTCTACCAATTAGTCACCGCACTGTAACGTATGTGTAGACGCCTTACTGTGCAGTAACACTATATGTGTGTACTGATTTGGGACTAACTTTAATCTCAAGTCAGTCCACACAAAGCATTAATGCACTTTAATGCCTGCATGTGTAGACACTGGCCTATTCCCATTTACTGCTCAGTAATTTACTGCACTGTAAATTTAAGCCAGTATAAATGCACATGTAGACACACCCACTGTGTAGCAGGTGATGCCTGGTAGGGGGAGACCCACTGAGTGGCCCACGTGGCATGGTGTGGCCCCTGGGTCTGTACTCCATGAAGCATGGCCCCTAGCAGCCCAGAAATAGGATAGCCCTGTTCTTGAACATGCCCTGCCTACCCCATCTTGCTTGCAAAACACCAAAGCCAGAAATGCATCAGTCAAGCTGGTGAGGAAACAGCTCTCACCACACCTTCTAACACACTCAAGGCAAGGGATTTTGAGCAGCAAAGGGTGTGAGGGGAGAGAACCACCATAGCTGCTTCACCACCTCATTTCTGGATTGGCGCAAGCAAGCAGGAGCAGACGGGCAGGCATGCTTGAAGGGGGCACTTTCCTGACATGCCCAGGATGCAGTCTAGACATACCTTAAAAAGGATGTAGCAAAACCCAGGAAGAGCTAAGCATGGTTCCCAGAGCCCTATGGAAAAGTCTGCACAGCAAAGGTTTAAATCACTTCACCTAGCACGTGCAAAAAAGCTGTTTACATGTTAATACAAGCCTGACCTATGCACAGACTTTTGCTTACACACCCCTTGGAAACACTCACACACGTATTAATTAGACAGTCTCATCACACACTCCAAGCCATATCTATAGTAGGTATGAAGCAGTGAAGCCAACAGAGATATACAAAATATACTGTAGCAAAGAAGCTGGTGAGCAAATATTTAACCACAAAACTACTGTCCCTGCAGCCTTTGGAATTCACCTAGACTTCAATCAGTGTCAGGCATGTGGGTGGATAAACTCATGTGTGTGCTGCAGTGACAGCAACTCCGCCTAGATGAGGGCTGTTAGTCTTACTGTGGGGATGGAGTACTTATGGCCTTGGCCAAACTGGCGGGCAGACAAGCTAATGGTAAACTTGTGTGAAGAGGGAGCTGAGTTCAAAGGCAAGGAAGTTCCAGTCTGAACATTTGATTCATTACCAAAAGTGACATCAACTGGACCAAAACTATAAACAAACATTTCCAATTTGCCAAACCCACAGATTACTAACAGCTCCATTTAATAGTTAGTTAAATCTTCATCTTGATTTTTACATAGTGTTACAATTATTTTTAAAACCTTTTTAAATAATACTGTAATTCCTGAATTTTTTTTTTTTTTGCCACATGTTCCCCCCCACCCTAATACCCCCTACTTTCCATCTACAGTAGTAAAACGTCACATTAGAGTTTTAAGAGAACATCAAGGAACATGAATTGTAGTAATTTAAAAAAAGAAAGGACCAAACAATCTTCTTGTTAAATAATTGCACAACAAGTAAAAGGTAGTAAATGCTATTACAGTGGTACAGGTATGTCCAAGAAAAAAAAAAGGAGAGGTTCGCCTTTAGTGAATCATTTCCCCATTAATTCAGAAATAAACAAAGGGGCTGGGGGAGTTGTGGACTTAGTCATACAAAAACTTTCTCTCAAACATTCATTTGGTTAGAAAATGCCAAGATTCAAGGCTTAATACTTCGCAAGAGCCATTTGTGACTTTGCACACACCTAGCAGAGCATTTCATAGAACTCAATGGAAGAGAAGTTCCCCCAGAAGCAGATGTGGTTAGTGAGCCTTGAGTTTTTTGGAGCCAGCAGATGGTGCAAGTCATTGTAAATCACTGGTCAACAGAAGACAATGTTCTCCACAGAAGTCAATTCCTGAGGACCTGGCCCTTTATTCCAAAGTTGTTTTTGGCAAGCAGATCACATGTAATGGTGACACAGCCAGATTATAACACAAGCTCCTGCTTGGTTCTGGGTCACTACCACAGTCAATCAGCTTTACCTTAAAAAGACTCCGACCTTTAAGAAATATTAATTCACGGTTAGTAACAATAATGTGCAACCAGGGTTAAGTTCCCAACAGAGCAACTGAGCTGTAACATTAAGGAAGATGGAGAGAAAAAAAAAATGATTAATTCAGAACCTCTCTCTATATAAAAAAAATGGCTCTCAGGTGGAGTGAGCTATGTTCCCAATACTTGAGGGGGCCAGTAAGAGCTTAAAAATAGGGTCCCTCATTCCTTTGTCATTAGAATCCAAGGCCTTATCTTCTTCAGTAGTAGCAGAAGGTGCTGTTACCAGCACATCCCTAGGCGATCCTCACCTGAACAGGTCTCATGTGGCAATGATACTAGAGAAATAACTGCATGAATACCAACTGTTTGGCATCAGAGGGAGGCAGCCTCGTCTTGTGGATAGGACAGCGAGCTGCAGGGCCAGGCAACCTGAGCTCTAATCTCAGCACTGCAACAGTCCTCCTGTGTGACCCTGGACAAGTCACTTCACCTCTGATCCTTTGCCTATTTTGGGACAAGACTCAATTTTGGGAACAGGAACTCAACTGGAGTCTCCCAGTGTTACTGTAACACAAATTAAGTGCCCTGAAGACAGAACATCAAGGTGCCAGGCTAACATAACTTACTAAAGCTGTATCAACTACTTGCACGACCCTCCCTCCCCCATATTTGAGGGTAGGGATACGGTATTGTTGTCAGGCAGTATTTCCAGCTTGTGACCCTCATGGACCAATTCTCCACTGAGGCTGACCACAGAGGCCCAAGAGAAACCCCTACACTGCAGCCCCTTTAAAAATTGAGATGAATGAAGGACTGGAGGATATACTAGAGATGAGTACTAGAAATAACCCTGCATTGGGACAGAGCTGGACTTCATAGTTTATTTGATCTCCTTCTCTAGTCTCTAGGGTAAGAAAGGGGGCCTGACACTAAGACTGGGTTGGCTGGAGAGGCTTTTTGATGTCAAAAAACCTACAATGCAAATGCTTTGAAATGCAAGAGCAGAAGCAATATGGAAATAGCTGCAAAGTCCCATCATAAAACTTGAGTAGTACAAATAAATAACCTAGACAGATGTGAATGCCCGGAGTGTCTGGACTTTGCAGGGTTTTCTTGGCAAAGTTCAGCAGTCTAGGCTGGCACAGTCTGCACCACCTCCATCTATGTTCCTGCCCCTAGTAAGCAATAAAAGTGATGTGTCTGCTAGCAAAAGGAAACATCTGTGTTTCAGAAAAAAAGACACCTAAGCAATATTGCTCAGTGAGCACAAAGTTTATTTCTAGGCCAAAGGCATTCAGGTTTAACTGGACTAAACGGAAGTCCCTTTTGGCCATCTCTGTGTAGTTGCCCAGATAAAAAATTAAAAGTTCTCTTGTTTTGTTGTTGTTGGGAGGGAAAAAGTAGAGGTAAACTAAGGTGCCTTAGCCCAGATTTCTAGGGACTGGAACCAGCTTAAATACACAGGGGTGTCAGTGGGAGAATGTGCGACTGCCCAAGCTCATTGAACTCCTGGTGTCCAGTTCAGCATTGCTTTGTAACGTACCTTGAGATCCTTTGAGCAGAACACACTGGCAGGCACCCAGAGCCAGCCAGACAAACCATAAAGCAAAATTGCACTGGGTTAACTGACAGGCATTGATGATATTATTGACTACGCAAGTGGGGGGCAATTTTATAATAAAAATCAACTGAGTTTGGGTATAACCACTATCCAGAGCTGCACCCTCCTCTCCAGCTCTGTATAGCTGAAGAAATGCACAATGGGAAGGCTTTTTGCTTTCCTATGAACACTGGGCAGCATCTTACAATCTATCCAGAATCAAAGAAGCCAACCCTTGCAACTCAGGCTCCTCTTTCCTGTTGGTCACATTCACTACACATCTGTTGCTCACTCTTCCAGGTCTGCTCTTGCTGACTTGCCACTTGAGGCCAGCTACTTCCTAACACCAGGCTTGTCCAAACTGATCCTAAGTCTATCTTCCCTAGTATCAGGTAGAATTTATCCTATGCTATGAATTTATCCATTCTGAACAGGATACAGGGACAGCTGATATATTCAGAGAGGAAATTTCTCAGTGCATGTTGAATACAAATACTGTGATGTAGGGGTGTAGGTTTTAGCTGTGTTGGTCTAAGGACATACTAAGGAATACTGTGATGTAGCACAATTAGCTGAGGAGAGAGGCTTCAGTCAAGAACTATTTAGCTCAACTAGATGCACAGCAAAATGTTAGATGCATGTCCTTGGCACGTTGTGGGAGAAGGAGGGGTGACAGAAAAACATAAAACATAAGCTAAGATAGCTCCAGCCAGCACCGCAATGTGAAAGGAAAATTCTGTTTGGAAAAGGTGCCAAAAAAAAATCCCATCACCTGACCCACATTTGTCTCCCAGAGCAGCCAGCTCAAAGGTACTCAGCTGACAAGCCCAAAGATGGTCTTCTTTATTGGCCAGACCTCTACAGACTCAGGGTGGCTCAGAAGGTCAAGTTCAGCTCTTGCTGCTCATCATATCATGATGAGACATTCTGCCAATGAACTGGAACTAAACTGAGCCCAGCCTCCCAGAGCTGCCTTGCCTCTGTGGTGTTAACAAGAGTTTCAAAAGGAGACGTTAATGACAACAGCAGATCTTAATACAGGGGGGACTTCTTACTGTAATGGTCTCAATCCTCAATTCTTCTGCAGCAAGATGCCCCCACAGGGTAGCAGGGACTGAGGGGACCAGTCAAGGAGAGCTAGAAGGAGGGAGAGCAATCGCACTTGAGCTCCATGATGGGAGAAGCCAAAAATCTGTTTATTAGAAGGGATCTCCCAATGGGTGGCCTGCACATTTCTTCAGGAGGTAGCAAGGTGCCTGGCTAAACTAATCTCAGTGGATATTCAGGGGCATAAGCCCTACTCCAATCCATTATGATGGAGCTTCACTTTGGTAAGGTGAAAATGTATGGGGAGGCAAACTAAGAGGCAACCCCTGATGAAAAGCAGAACTACTGTTCCCTCGCTCCTCCCACATCACCCTACCCTCCAGAGTCCCGCTCCTCTGGAAAGCTGTTCTGTGTCATGTTTTGGGGTTTAGTGACACAGGAACCAGCCTGGTAAATGCTGCCCTGGTATGTACACCTTGGCTAGAGCTCCCTGCAAACATCAGTCATTATTTAGTAACTTTTACTATGCGGAGGGAAGAGGGGATGGGAGAGACTTACTTCCCAAGAATTTGGTTCAAGAAGAAAAGCTCACTGAGATGAACAGGGCTGCAGCAGTGACCACTGGGACTCACCAGCTCGGGCTGACTACAAGGTGGAAGGAGTCTGCAGGATCCCACCACCAGTGGACAGAGTGAAGATGATGAGATGTGCCTACTGGCAAACTCCTCACCCTGTAGTGAAGCAAGGTGGTTTGCAGTGCAGTCCAGAGTTCATGTTTTGCAACAGAGGCAAAACCGTCTTGGCTGCAGCAACACCTTTTGCTCAGATCCAATCCCAGACTAAGATCCTCAACAGAAACTATTTAAACTGACTTGGATGCCTTGTCACCATTGTTCCAATCCTGACTTTAATTTAGTAGCTGGGTTATGAGTTCCAAACAGGATTTCTCTCTGCTTCTGGCCTCGATTATTTTGCTCTTTTTGTAATTTGAGATGCACTCCGTATGAGGACTTTGGAGGGGTTTAGAGAAGAGGTCAAACCTTTAAAAATGTATTTTCCATTCCAGAGTGCAAGTTCATGCCTGCAGTTCAAAGAACCTCTAAGGGGAAAATGAGCAGAACCAACCAACCAACCAAACAAAAAAACAACCCTGGGTCTCATGAGACCTCTAACTAGAAAGGCTATTGGCCATGTTGAAGAAGAGTCTAATACCAGGTAAGTGCTACCGAGAAGCAGTAGGTTCTCTCCCTGGTTTAGGTCCTTAGAGATTGCAGTGACCCCCTGAAGGTCCTTTTATAAATCCCCCACAACTGCCTTTTTTCCATTCTTCCTTTAAGGGTTGTAAGTAGCTCCTCAAACCCTCAGTAGTCTTTGTCACCATAGTCATTGTAAAGGACGCTTAGTGCTTGCTCTTCACATGTCTTCTTCAGGTCCCGGCTCAGCTCTGACCAGTTGAGTCCATAGAGCTTGATCTCGCTGTAGCGGCAGGCAAGGTATTTGAGTGATGTGCGCTGGAGGCTGATCTTGGGCTCCTGGAGGAGGCCATTGCACCAGCTGCTGAGGTCCCCAAGCTGAGAGAGAATGAGACCAGCCTTCCTGCAGAGGGTTATGGGAGAAGCCAGAGAGGTGGTGGGACCAGGGAAGGGGTGGGTTAAAGACAGAGAAAAAAAGAGGGGGAAGGCAGAAGAGATGGACAGAGGGTAGGAGAAGAGAAAAGCAAGGAAGGTTAAACAGACCATGAAAGCTTTAGAGAAAAATAAAAAGAGAACAACAGCCACAGATAAAGCCACCAGGTGGGCCAGCATCTCCATGCAACATGAGCCAAGAGACTAGGCTGGAATCAAGACTGTCCCTCTGGGAAATTTTTTCCTTGCCAAATTGAAGAATGTCCCATTCCTTGGTTGAGTGGACAGGCAAGCAAGGAAAAGCATGACATGGAGCACAAGGATGTAGAGATGATCTCTGGATGCAGGTTGGAGGGGGACTAGCTGAAGACCTTGCTCTCTGATCAGGTGGCAGTTCCAGAGAGCCAGGTATGAAGCATCCTTACACACTGCTCATTCAAGACAAGCTACTGAGGCCAGGGGCAGGGTAACCTTCACCTTCTGGAGCATCTGGCAGGTGACAGCTCTACCTCCTGGAGTTTCATTCTGGCTTGACAGTCCAGAAGAATGAGATACCCAGGGGTGGGACAACAACCATGACCATGGCAGACAGAGGCATAACAAGCAGGGTTTGTACCCTGGACAAACTTGTGGGAAAACTGGGGTAGGGGGTGGTGAGAAGATGCTGCTGAGTGCCAGAGTGGTAGGGGCAGGAGTTTTACCTACACCCAGGACTCAAAAACCATCCCTGGCTGCTACTGCTGTTGCTGCTGCTGCTACCACCACCAGCATGGTCTGCTGCCCTGCCCTGGCTGTTGCTCTTACAGTAGCAGCACAGTGTTTGTACAACCAGGTGCAAGAGCAAAACCATAAGGCTACTTTTGCTACTAGGACACAGACTCTGCAAGGGTGGGGGTGATTCTGGCACCTTTCCTAAATTGGTGCCCCACCTGCCCACCCCTAGTCACACTACTGACAGTGGAGCTTCTCCCACAGCAGCTCTGTCTTGAGGGAACCACTTCTAGGAGACAGCAAGAAGTTAAGTCTGACTTTTCTGAAGACAGTGCCCATGCGAGGATGGCAGCAATGTGGATAGATACCGACCAGGAATTATGCTAAACCTGACAACCCAAATCCTCATTAACAGCCTTCAGATGCTGGCTACTGACATGGGCTGGTTCTGAATGAGCTATCAAGAGGTCAAAAAACTCCAGAAGCCTGTTATACCAACCACCTGAAGCACAGCGGCCTTAGCCTAATCTAGCATAGTAGAAGCGGATGAGCACCTAGCTCCCACAATAGCGACTGAACCCTTCCCTGGAGACTCAGTTCATATGAGTACGTGAAGCTCTTAGTCGTTAAAGGGCTTGATCCAAAACCCGTCTGTGGAAAGCATCCTACGGACTTCACTGGGCTTTGGACAAGCCCCTTATCCACTGTTTATCTCCTGGAATACAGCCTACCTTCCTCCCTGGACAAGGTATTTGGCTCAATTAACTTCGTCCCAGGGCAGGAGGTAACAGCTGCTCTTCTACTTCTTGCTTACAAACACTACCCTAACAGCCAACGTTACTAGGAATTGACAGAAGCACATTCCAAAAGAGCACACTCAGGAGCACAGTAAGATGGGATGATGCGGTGCGGGTTTCCATCCAGAACTTCAAAGGAGCATCAGAAAGCAGTCAAACAAACACTCTGTCTGCTGGCTAAATAATGTCATCTGCAAGTGATTTGTCCTGTCACAACCAGTCTGGATGCTTCACCCTAGCAGACGATCAAACAGGAGGTCTGGTTTCCAAGATTTGTCATCACCAGAGACCTCTTGCAGCTGCCTAAATGTTCCTTTCCAAACGGTATGAGCTGCAAACACTTCATCAGGAACTGCATCATCTTCCTTCAAATACTTGAACACTTTCAACAAGTGAAATTAACCCTCCTGCATCTTCACCCTCTTCTCTTTTAAATTCCCCAGACAGATACAGAAGCTAAGTAAATTCAGCACCAATTATTTAAAGCAGATCATTTTCCTCTATACTTTGCTGCATACAAAATTCTGCCAATGTATCACCACTTTGACCTGAACAGACATCTCCGATCTAGAGAGTGCCCATTCACTATAGTACGGTAAATCCTCAGCCTCTCTACTAAGGCTGCCAGCAAGCACCAGCTGGACTGTTGGTTTGCAATGAGCTCACTTGTTTCCTCGATTAAGTCCAGTCAACTCTCTCTTTGCATAAGCTACCAAAAAGTCATGAGATGGGGACAACTTTTGACCACAGCAAACTGGTGCTGGATTTTAAATAAAAAGAAAGAAGCAGAGCAGCACAAAACCTGCAGGATTCAGTACATGTGTGAGATAAAGCCCCACCCTGCGTGGCTCACTTGTTGGGTATGGGAATAAGTTCTTGTAGGTTCTCTTGGAACTCTGAAGTCTACATGAAACAGCTTTCAAAAAGCTCCTATCTCCTGCTAAGAGCACTTGAAACAGGTTAGCCACCTCTCCTGAGCACTGGAAACCTCACAACATATTATAAGGTTTCCTACCAAAGAAATGTTTCTCAGACACATTCATCCTTCCCCTCTGTAGTGCTTTGGGGGTGAGGGGAGGAGGAGGAAGTTACTAACCCTTTGCACTGAGGAGCTAAGGAAACCTTGAAGGTTTCCTAGCAACTCTATGCTAGGGGAGATGCACAATAACACTTAGCATATGGTTGCTATGAAACCCTGGGGACTATGAAATGCTGCCAGCCAAGTCATTCTGTCCCCCACCAAGAGAGGGCTCATTTTGGCAGTCCCCTGGAAATTCATGAAAGGACAAGATGTGTCCATGGGGTGTCTCCTGAGGAGGTGATGAGAAAACTCTCAAACCTGGGAATGTAGGGGAAGAAGCTGGAGGCTCCCACAGTTCTGCAGAAGTAGCACCCAGGCCTAGGTGAAAGCAACTTATGGTAAGATTTTGGAGAGGGGAGCTGAAGCCTGGTGGGGGGAGGCGGGGTGTGTGCACTCCTGTACCCCATGGTTTCATGGATGAGGATGGGTGTTTGTGAAGACTGACAAAGGCAGAGCCTTTTTTCAGGTGGATTCTGAGCTCTTAGAACATGAAAGCTGCCATTTACTAGGTCAGACTATAGGTCCATCCAGCCCTGTATCCTGTCTCCCCAAAAACATACAGAGAAGATTAGCATGGTTCCTGCAAGATGTTCCATATCAGTACTTGCTCTCTTCTTCCTGTGTTAACAGCTTCTGTCCCATAGAATTAGTTGTGTGCACTTAGTGGCCTCCCTCTAGCCATTGAGAGGGGAGCTTGTAGTTTCTGGTGGCCCTAGGTCCACTGTCCTGGCATAATAAGTAGGTCTGCTCAAACAGTGGCAGAGAGGAGATGCTGAGGGGAAGGGTAAACATGACATGCTCAGAATTTTCCACCATCTGCTCCTCTACTACTGTAGCTTCCAGCATTCAGAGGTTGAGGAAGTTGTGATTCAGAGGCTGCTCCCCCTACCTGCAATGTTCAATACCTGCTGACGGATCTTTCTTCCATTCTCTTGTCCATTCCCGTTTTGAATTGTGTTTAACTGTCAGCTTCCACAGCATCTTGTGGCAAAGAATTCTACAAGTTAATTACATGCTGCATGATCAAGATCTTCCTTTTGTTACTTTAAAACCTACTACCTAATACAGTGGTTCTCAGCCTTTTTAGACTCAAGGCACCCCTTTGAAAATGCCAGGTCTTCTTAGCTTTCGTTCATTTCTTGAAAAGTAATAGAACAATTCTTTAGTTACAAAGAACTTAGAAAAACCAAAACAGATCAGAATGTCTTTGACACTATGGACACCTACTTGAGATTTCTGGATTTATCCTGTGAATCATGTATAGGTGTTTTCACATCTAATAGTGCTAATATTGCCATCATCACTGGCTCATCATCACTGAGTTAATAGTTTTATGTCCCCTACTTCTAGTACTGTAGCAGACAGTAAATAATACATTCCCATTTACTTTCCCTGCACCATTTAATATTATATAAACTTTTATCATGTCCTTCTCTGGCATCCTTTTTCTAAGCTGAGAAGTCTTAGCCTATTTAGTTTCTCTTCATATGGAAGTCTCTCTATATCCTTGATGCCCTTCTCTGTACCTTCTATAGTTTTTGTATATCCGTTTTTAGGTGGAGGGACCAAATGCACAGAAATTTAAACGGACATAATGATACTTTCTGTTTCAAGCCATCCTTTTCCTTTAGCTATATTCAGAACACAGGTGCTCAAGGGAAGGAGAGAAGAAGGGGTTTCCCTCCTTTTAGGGGGGTTTGGCATATCACAATGGTGAGGTGCTATGTCTAGACACACTGAGGCATGGAAAGGGGCACACTCTCAATTCTTGCCAATGCATTTCAGCCTGAACCTGCAGCTCCCTCAAGCTCTTCTAGAGAACATAAATGATGATCCATACAAGGTAATGAGTTCTTAAACTAAGACAGTACAGCAACAAGCCAGCAGTTTTAAGGCACACGGTGTTCAGTTTCAACATGATTAACCCGTGCAACCAGAGCTGGGGACAAAGGAGCAGAACTAAAGAGAGCAGAAGGGAACTATTTCTGGATGTCACTCTGTTGCTTTCAGTAGAATTACACAGAAGCCAAATGTAGCCAGGCACAGTGATTTCAAGTTAGACAAAAGCAAGAAAATGAAATGTGAGGCCAGGTAAACCCGGCGTTTGCTTGCATCAACTATGGCAGAAATGTGCTTGCCTATATAGTGTGCATGCAAAACCCAGTCTGCTTCATCCACCTCCACTCTT